GAAGCAAAATACATAGTATTTACTGAGAGTCTTGAAAAGTCTTGACCAATAGAAATATAACGCAAACCATATAGGTGATTTAAAATTTTCTGGTAGCCACCCTGAAAAATTAAAAGTGAAACTTGTAAAACAAATCGTATTTAAGATAGCCAAAAATCGTTTAAACGTAATTAATACTAAAACAACAATTGAGATTTTTTTAATATCCTTTTTTATTGTGCTAAGCCTTAGAAATCCGATGTGTATTCTACACTTAAGGCAGACCTGCCACATTTCGAGTGCGCGGCGCCATATGCGACTGGTAGCTGTCGTGTTGGACAGCCCAGCCTTGGAGCCGAAACAGGGACTTCAGTGTCGTTTTCCCCAGTGGGCGAGGGAGCTGAGGTCATCATGCACCGGTTGCCATCCGTCATCCCCACCGGGCTGGCGGGGGCTTGATTCTCTGGCACTTTGGTGGCCTGCAGAGAGAAGTCCTTCAGCAAAAGATGGGGATTGAGTTGCAGCCTGTGCAGGTTACAGTGATAAGACCCACGGGGATGGGTAGAGCCACCCGTAGCCTACTACGTTTTATAATACCCTCACTCTAGTGCCTTGTTATTTATTAACAAGTCACATTCAGCACCCCTGGCATTGGTGACTCAAGGTCACTGGCCTCAGGGGATCAACCCCAAACTCTGACATTTCAAGTCCATGGGAACCTGGATGCATCCTACGCATTCTCCTGGCCTCCCACTGATCTTACTGCAAGGATGTCCGTCCCCTGCTCCTTTCCACATTATAGGAAGACATCAGACGAGCAACTGTGGTTTTATGGGGTTTTTCACGTTTGTAAGTTTAAGCTCTAATAGTGGAAAAACTGATAGTTGCCAACAAAGCACCGAGGAGATTGCCCAACAGGGGTGCTGAAGGTGTCTGGAACCATCCTGAATGCCTCCATCAAAGTCAAGGAAAATTAGTTATTAAACACCATTAAGCTACTTTAGTTTCTTCCCTTAGCATCTTCACAAAACACTGTCTGTATAAAATTGTTCCCGTGAGGGTAGAAGGGGTAGAATTCAGTTTAGTGCCCTAGTAGTTCAGCACATGGTGACTGAGCCGGGATTGCACTGCCTTTTCCAACAAGAACCTTCGAGGGGCACGCACGCTTCATGGAACGTGCTGAGCGAGGTCACAGAACAGATCCTTCAGTGACCCTCCGGCACCACGCAGCCACCAAGATGGCAGCAGTAACAGCTGACATTGGGAGTACTGAGTGGATTGTGCCAGACTTCAATGTAAACCCAACATTTTCAAAAACAGCTGCTGTGACATGTATTAGGACAGCGAGAGTTGTTATTTTTTATAGCAAATGAGCAATACGTTTCCAGCAGGCTGCAGATGTGGTGAGATAAGCTCTCTAGAAACTGTACAGTTGGTTCTCACGTTGACTATTAATAATGCCTCTCTTATCAAAGAACATCAGAGCAGTAGGTGTTCAGAGTAACATGACCCACTCAAAAGACTGTACAAGCAAATTAAAATTAATGGGCCATTTTTTCAGGGAATAAAATTCCTTGGAAATTAGAAAGCTTGTTCTTTACTTCATAAGTAAGCACCCAGGGAATATTTGGCACTATAACCTTATGCCTGGTCATTTTACTCTTTCAACAGTCCTGTCAGAGGTCAGTCTTTGTGGAGTCTTGTTCTTTTCAGATGCCATGAAAAGATATTTCTTGCCAAAGCCCTTCCTGACTGTGATGGAATTTATGTAAGAGCTGTGGCTCAGACGGCCTTCATGCCAGGGGAAGTTTGGCACTAACTTCAGCCCAGCCCCCAGATAGCTGCGTGACCCGGATCAAAGAGCATTTCCCTCTTGGGGGGCTCAGGGTCTTCACCTGTAAAATGCAAAGGTTGAGTTGATGATCTCTTATAGGATGGTGTGCATGTTCATTCATTCCACAAGGGTTTGTTGAGCACCTACTGTGCGCCAGGCACAACTCTATCACTGGGATTTCAGTGATGAGCAAAATCAGACAGGGGCCCTTGCCCCCTGGTGCTTAGATCCTAATGGGAGAGAAACAGCTCTTAATCAAATATCTGCACAAATAAATGTGTCATCACAACATTGGTAAGTAAGTGATGTGCAGGATGGTGGAGCACGTGGGGCTGGAAGAGCTCATAACTGGGGGCATTTATTTCACCCAGGAGGGAGGTCACACCCGGGTGTGGCAGGTGAGGGGCTGGAGAACATGGGCTGCGATGGCAAAGAGTGGGCTTTGAAGACCTAGGAGGCACCGAGTTCTGAGCCCAGCACAACTCCTATCTCTGCATCTCAATTTCCTCATCTCTAAAAATGGAACAAACATCAGGAACCTTTCACAGTGTCGTAAGGTTTCAGAAGGATGACATGTTTGAAAGTACCCAGCACCAGGCAAATTACATTACATCTCATTTCTAAGAATAGCTTTGGAAACAGAGATGTTCTGTTTTAAACATGGGGGTTTTAGCTGTGGAGGAGTGACACAGCTTCGAGTCACTTTTTAAAAAAGTCTGAGTTTACGGTATGCCCTGGAAGGTGCCTGGCTTCCCTCAGTCACTGAGCCATGTTTGAGTCACATGTTTGAGACCCTGGGGAGGACCTTGCTGCATGATTAAGTGACAAGGGTCTAAGCTTTGGGGCTAGCGGAAGCTAGACGACCCTGCCCTGGTCCAAGGTGGCTGATCATGGACAACAAAACTGGAATAATAAGGAGGTACCCCTGCCCATGGTCCTGCGCTTTTTTATGCTCCCTCTCTATTTAATATCCCATTTGGAACCTGTGGATATTCTCTGAGGTGACTAGGCTACTTGTGAGTGCTTAAGCAACTCCTTCTCGAGATAAAGCAAGGTTAGCACTCTCTCTGTCATAACTCCTCAAGGCCTCAGGATTGCTCCTTTAATCTTACAAAAGCAAACAAGAGGACAGAAATAACCCGTCAATTGTTTAAAATTAAAATGGCCAACAATAATAAATAATTGCCACATAGCTTGAGGTCAGGGTCATAATTTATTGGAGGCGAGTCAAGAATTTGAAACTTTCCTCTAAGTTAATTTTTCACATCTTGTTTGGATCCTTAGAGCCCTTGCTTCCAACAATGAGACCATCAGATCTCTCCTTGCACATGGTCTTCTTGTTGACGTGCCAGGCATGCAGGAATGTGAGGTTCTCTCTTCGTGGTTGGGTAATGAGGATTCCTTCCCCCCAAATCTGTATTTCAAAATATTTGAGCCTACTGAGATTTTGGATAATTCTCTTATCTTTCATGCTCTACTAGCTGTATCAGTGGTTGCAAACAACAACTGTATGCTGGATAATTTAAATAGAAAAGGAGCCCTGACTGGTGTGGTTCAGTTGGTTGAGCGTCATTTCATGCACCAAAAGGTTGCCGGTTCAATTCCAGGTCAGGGCACATGCCCGGGGTTGCAGGCTCAATCCCCAGTAGGGGGCATGGAGGAGGCAGCCAATCAGTGTTTCTCTCTCCCTCCTTCTCCCTTCCTCTCCCTCTAAAATTAATAAAAACATACTTTAAAAAGAAACAGAAAAGGAATTTTTTGGAAGGATATGGGCTGGTTCAGAGCTTAGCTAGGAAAGCTGGAGAACCATCATCATTACAGGAAACAAAGGAGGTACAAGGCTTCGCCCAGGATGCCACCTCTGGGCTCCCAATCCTCCGTGGCCACCTCAGATGATCTCAGAGGGCCCTGGTGGCTTTGGGCAATTCTCAAAATTCATGACCGCAGTTCGGAGCATCTGCTCACCACACTGAGGCCACTTGACCCACCCTTAGATCACAGGACTGCACTTAACTGGCCACACCTTGGCAGCCAACCTTGACCCTTTCTTCTGCTGTGCCCCTCCCACTGATCTTGAGGTTTCTGCCACACAGGAAGGTGTCAGGATGCTGAGTGGCCAAAAAGATCAACTGTTCATTACACAGACCCCCATATGCTTGACCACACTTTCCGTCCACTGGTTGGCCAATCAAAGGTTGGTCACCCGTGTGAATTTATTTTGCCCAGCGCTCACATCACACACTGATCATCAGTCTCAGGCCTATCACCGCTTCATTCCCCTTCTCACCCTCCTTCTCTTCTCCACCCTGCTCCACCCACCCAGTGATGGACCAGCCACTCTCCACTCTCCTGGCTGCTGTTCCCCTCTTCTCCTCACCCCTCAAATATCCCCTCTCCCCTCCCCCCCACTTTCCAGTCTTTGACTCAGCTTTTATTTCATGTAAAATGGAAGCAATCATAAGGGAATCTCTCCTTGCTCCTAACACCCATCTGTTAATTCATCTGCCCCATATGTGCCTCTCTCTCACCTCATACCAGCTGAGGCAGCCCCTCCATTTGTTCAGGGGCCATCCAGCAATTGTCCCGTCATATATAAGCCACAGTGGCCTCCTTGCCAGTCTTTGGACATTCCAGGCACAGCTGTTCCTTCACTCGTTCCCGGATACCTTTGTATCTTGCCCCCTTCCTTCCTTTAGGTTTGCACTGAGAGGGCACCTCGTCAGTGAGGCTTCCCTGACCACCCCAGTTAGTGCTGCAACTACTCTCCCTCCAAGTCCGGCACTGCCAATCCTTCTACCCCTTGGCAAGTTATCTCCATAGCTCTTATCACAATCCGACCTGTGTGTTTGCTTCTCTGTGTCTGTGTTTTCTGTCTCCCTGAAGCTGCAAGAAGGAAAGAACTCTTGTAGAATATAAGCGTCGTATAATTTTCCAAGCTGGATGTACAAGATTTCATGTGATCCGCAGATCAGCCTAGTGAGATGGGCAGCACAGAAGAAACCGAGGCTCATGGGATCTAACTTAGGCCCCAGGTGGGCATGGCTGCTTCATGGGGTTCCTGGGACTTGTAGTTCCGATCCTCGTGGAGTTCCTGCCCCCCACCCTCAGCTCCCCCACGATGGCTCATGTTATATCAGTGAAAGCTGAAAGCTTCAGGGCATTAATTGCTGATAATTTTTCATTGCAGCATTGATGAGAAAACCCCCTATCTGGCTTTGGGGGCTGTGAAGAACATCTCCCTAAACATCTCCATCGCCAACCTCGGTGACGATGCCTATGATGCCAACGTGTCCTTCAACGTTTCCCGGGAGCTCTTCTTTATCAACATGTGGCAGAAGGTAAGGAGAGCACCCCGAAAGAGAGCGTTTGGTCCATCTTGTGCATTTTCTGACTTGCATCATAGCTCAGAATGTGCAGTGATTCTGCAAAGACTATTTTGTTACGTGGAGTGTCATTTGAGACTATTAGAATTTTTTTCCTCCTGGACTTAGAAAGTATGTTGGTACAGCCAGAGAGAAAACTATAAATACCTCGAGTGTCGGAGCAGTGTCAGTGTCTCCCACCCTGTTGTCCCTTGTGGAACCCTCTCCATACAGTTTATGTCTGGTCTCTTCTCCGCGATGATGTGGCCACTGTCTCCAGCACGCGCGTGTTCAGAGAGCTTTAGTGTTGGGTCAGTAGCTGTGAAAAACCAGATAAGAGATGAGAAGGGATTGCAGCTGAGCGTGCTTGTTATCAGCACTTGATGATTTCATTCGAGGGTCATGTTCATCAGCCTACACTTCGGCATATTTATTTGTTCCTGACATATCTGAGGGAATTGAGGAAATTAAATGATCTCCATGAATTGAGTGAGCTTTTGAGAGAGAATTAATTTATTTGAATGAATTGGGGTTTAAATAGCATGACTCAGAAAGGAGAGAGGAGCTGGGAGTCTCTCCTGCCGTATAATCTGCCTCGATGGACCACCTTTGGGGAGAAAGGACAGGCCTTCTGGGTGGGCAGCAGGAGGAATGGGTGGGTTTGAACAGACCTTACTCCACCCCGTGGTTGCTCTAGCTGTTGACAGCGGTTCTGATGGGAATTTTTGCGGCTTTTCAGAGCATTTATAGCCTTGAATCGCAGTTGCTCTAACTGTTGACAGCGGTTCTGATGGGAATTTTTGCAGCTTTTCAGAGCATTTATAGCCTTGAATCGCAGTGGCTTGATGTCCGTGTTAAAATGGAACAAAAATCACTTTCTGAGGAAAACGCTCACCCTGCCTACAGATGACCACTGGGTGTACCGTCAAACCCGCTGGCAGCCTTATTTCTGTTCAAGCACATGTCCTGTCAGACTCAGTAGTTCTGGCAGGGTTGTGCCAATCTTGCCCAGCTTAGGGGGCAACTGAAGCATACAGAGCCATCTAGCATGGCAGTGCTCCAAGAGCTTTCTCAGAGGTCACCTCAGACTCTGAGGTTGAGGAGCTCCAGGGTTGGGGGAGGCTCCCAAAATAATTAAGAAGGACTGCAGGAAGGGCATCCTTTCCATTCACCTTCTACGCCCTAGAAATTGGCCCTGGTCTAGGCCCTGCCCCAGCAAGAGAGAACCAAGGATCTGTGGGGTTTCAGCATCTCTGGCTACATACAGTGGGTGAAAGGCATGTCAGCAAGCAGTTAAGGCACAAGATGCCAGCTGCTCTACAGGTGCTGAGAAGGGGCTTGGAAGCACAGATGTGACAAGGTGAAGCAAGTCATTACTGCAACTGATAGTCTTGGGTTGGCCTAAATCCTTAGATAAAGGCAGAGGGTAGATGGATGGGTCTCTGAAAAGTTGGTGTCAGCTAGTGTCAGCATTGCAGAGCTAAGGTGGGTGGGTGGGGTGGGTCAATCTATTTGGGCAGTGAAGGGGAGAGCTGGGCTGGTACAGGGGTGAGAGGGCAGAGGAGAGGAATCCAGCAAGATGGAAAGGGGCTGCCCATGCGGGACAAAGGGCCAGGAACGTTCCTATGGGGGGTGACCTCAGGACATTTTAGGAACACTGACGCCTGCTGTCCTGTTAGGAATCCTGCACTCTTGGATGTCTCGCATGACCGAGAGAGAGAAATTCAGAGACGGGGCTGGGTTCATTAGCACATCTCCGTGCTATTCTGATAGCATGACTGTTCTGGTGCACATGGAAACAGACATGAACATGGACAGTGTAAGCTTCAAGTCAGCTGACCTGTGGATACAGAGGGGACACAGAAGCTTGCACTGGAGTTACAGAGGAGGGGTGCTGGGAGGGATGGGAGAACAGAGACAGACTCCCTGGCCCGGCTCTTCTCCATAGTAGGAGTGCTCTCTTGGTTTGGGTCTCCCAGATGCCAACTTTGAAATAAAGACTTGAGGGCCATTAGCTTATTTGGGAGGTGCAGAAAACACTGGTGGGGAGGTGGGGAAATGATACAGGCAGGTGGAGGCAGCTAATGAAGAGGGTGCCATTAAATCAGCTGCTGCAGTGCATGATGGGGTTTAATCCCCAAGGGCACATCTGGGAAACAGAGCAAAATACAAACCTCAGGGGTGAGGGAGCTGGGGGATTGACCCCCCTCCCAAAGAGTCAGTGCTTGAGGCCTTCTGGGGATGTGCATTCCCCAGTACTCTTGTCCTCTAATGTGCATGTGCAGAGCAGCCTACCCGGTTCTGGAAAATGCCCTCAGGTGCAGAGATGCAGACGCTGGCAGTTGGCAGTGGGCGGAGCCCCATGCAAGGTGTGAGGCATCTGAGCAGCTCACCAGCATCTGCTGGAAATGCACACAGCGTTGGAAGCACCACCAACATGAGCACCTCACGTTCGGGGCTTCCAGAAGTTGTAAATTGGCCTAATAGAACTTCACTGTGGGTCTAATGTGAGAAGGCAGGTGCTATAAATTGGAGAAAGGGCCAGATGTGGGACACTGGGAAGCAGCAGAGAGTGGAAAAACGGAGTGTTCCAGCCTCATCTAGCTCTCATCAGGGTCCTTGGTAGTCAGGTGGGAGTCTCAGCCAGTGCTGCCAGACTTCCTATTTTTCAGTAAAAGCCAGAAATCCACATTTTTATGTGAAATCTCATGACTTTGGCAGCTCATTAAAATGTTCTTTGAACATTGTACGGGCCAAACAAAACATGTCCACGGACCACATCCAGTCCATAGGCCACCAGTTTGTGACCCCCAGCTTAGCTGTTTTCCATATGTTCGAGTCCCATTCTCGTCCCTACCTGTGTGTCACATGGGTCTGTACTTCTGGTAAACCTAGTCTGTCTGCAGCCTTGACTGTGTCTTGCGTCCATCCCTGCGTGGCAGACAAACCAGCCAAGAGATTGGAATTTGAGGGCATCAGGTGTGAGTGTGTTTTGAGGGGAGGGAGGTGGTCAGGGAGGGTGAACCCCAAAATGCCCATGGAATATCTGAAGCTAATGATGTTTCGAAAACCATTTTCAAGCCAGAATGTTTGTACTTTGTAGTGATTGCGAGAAGCTGCTAAGCTGGAGTTTTGATTATAGAAGTTCTTAGAGGAGAAAAGTAAAATACCAAGCAGAGGAATTGGAGAAGAGCACAAGTGAGGCTCTGGCTACTGCTCAGATGCAGGGGTGACACTGTAGCTCAGTTTCTCACATCATTGTGACCTCAGACCAAGGGTCTTCTGTCTGCACCTCAGTTTCTTTCTCTATAAAATAAGATGTGCTGAGGATTAAACGACGCCTCCAATAGCTCATTCATTTACTCAGAAAGTGTATATGGATCACCTACAGCAGACCACGATTAAGCTGAGGGAGAGGAGGGAACAGAGCAAGGATATAGCACAAAGTGTGTAAGCCAGAGGGTATTGACGCTTCCTTTCAAGTAAAGACCCGTGGTCTTAACAAAAGACTGCATGCGCGTGCACATGTGTGTGTAAATGCGCTTACATTGTCAAGAAAGAGACGGTGTTAAAGTGAACATATTTTTGCATTTAACGAATTGCCTTTACTTAAAAAAATACAGTTACGTGAGAATTCACGTGAAACGTAGTAAATATGTGTCAGTTCAATAAATGTTTGTATTTGCTTTTGTGGCTCCTGTTTGTTTTTAATCAGGCTTGTTGATTTTTTTTTTTTTTCTCCCGCATTTACTTTTAGCTAGAATATTGGACTATTTGGTTTGGGGACGTTGACTTTTAAAAATCCAGATATATAATGGCTCATATATGTGATACATGCAGTAAATAATATCAGAGTTCAGAGAATGGGAATGAAGTGCTCCAGAAGCAATGGCAGGGCCAGGCCCTGTGTATGGAAGGTGGGGCAAGGAGACGACTGGCCCGAAAGGCCACAGGGGTGTGGCCAGAGGGGGAACCCACGTTCCTTATCAGGAGGGCACCGGTGGGCCCAGCTGTGTTTGACTGAGGGTCTGGACTGAGGAAACAGAAGGGCAGAGGCTGGAGACGGCATCTGGAGGAAGAGCCAAGGGAGAGGAAACAGAGATGTCAGAAGGTGAGGTTCGCCTTGGGATTGCTGGAGGAAAGAGGCCAGTGAGAACGGGGAATGACATTCATTTTACAGCTTTCAGGTTAGCGCTGTTTCCGCTGGTGATAAGTCACCGAATTCGGCTCATGAGCTAGTCGTTGCATCGCCTTCTAACCTTGAGACTGAGGGATGGGCCCTCTGTCCTTTCATTTCCTCCCATGGCAGGGCCGAATGTGGGAGGTGGGACAGTGTTAGAAGTTTCTGGAAGAAAAGCCCGGATTTGCTCTCTCTGAGGAGTGAGTGCTTTGAGTTCCAATGTCAAACGAGGCCTCCAAGTTGGCCTTGGGGGCGGAAAAGCACCAGGTCAGCTCCGGCAGCTTTTAGGCGGCTGATCCTTTACAAGAGACAGAGAGGGCTCGTAAGTTTGTTTTTCTTGTAAAGCGATGCTTCATCTCTATCTACCTTGACCATGGAAAGGGTGGTCCCTTCTCTCCCGAGTTTCTCTCTTCTCACTTTCAAAGCACATCGCAAAGATGGTGCCAGGCGATAAAACCGATCCGTTGGTTTCTAACCTGGGTGGAGCAGGAAAGACAGACACTGACGTGTTTGTCTCCCTTTGTATCTGTGGGAGTGCCAGGGCCTGTTGTCAGACAGAACATTCCCCACAGAAGCAGCAACCGTACATAGCAACGAAATGAACTGTATTCAGCGGGGCCGGGAAGCCAAACACTGCTCCTCAGAAGGGTTCGCTCAGAAATGGGTGCACCCCACCCGTGGTTGTGTAAGCAGATTTCCAACAGCCTTTGCCCCCCTTCCACTGCTCTGGTTCATGGCAGGAACTGATTTTCATTGTGTTCTGCTTTCTCCGGTGTCTCTCGTCAAGTTAATAGTA